CCTTTCCTGGAACTCACTTGGTAGCCCAGGCTGGCCTCGAACTCACAGAGATTCGCCTGCCTCTGCCTCCCGAGTGCTGGGATTAAAGGCGTGCGCCACCACCGCCCGGCTAACATTTAACTTTCTATAGTCAACCATGATCTGAAAATATGGAATGGAATATTCCAGACATAAACAACGCCTACATTTTAAACATCCTTACAGTGTATTGTGGTGTAATTACAGTGTGTTACTATGATTGTTCTATTTTATTATTGGTTGTTACTGTTAATCAGTTACTATGCCAAATTTAGAAACTAAGCCTTATTATAGCTAGTTATGCATTTATAAGAACGCTACAGTATTCATAGGGTTTGTCACTATTGAAATTTCAGACAGCCACTGGGGACTGCCATGTATCTCTGTGAGGCAAACAGGACTACTTCCCGCTGGCTGGGAGGCTTAAATAACAGACATCTATCTAACAAAGATCTGGCAGCTAGAAACCCTAAATCCAGTCCTGGCAATGCTGGGCTGTAGTGAAGAGTCCTTCCTTGGTGGTGGGAGGCCATCTTCTCACTGTTTTACAGCCTGGCTCTATTTCTGCACCAGTGAACAAGGAGAAAGTATGTGCCCTTTGGGCTTCAGTATGTGTATAGACCCCCAATATTATAGAAACAGGCCCCAGCTCATGCCTGTACCTAGCTTTAACTACTTCTATTGAGGTCTGCCTCCAAATAGAGACATTATGGGGCTTGGGGTTCCAAAACATTAATTTGGGGATATCTGCCCATCCTCCCCCCCCCCAGTCCATAGCATCAGGTGCCAGTGGTTCATGTTGCTTCAGTGAACAGTCAAAAGCCTCAGCAGCCACTCTCCATGGTATGCCACTGGCTTTGATCTTATTTCATGTTTCTCTCTGAAGGAACCATGTTCTGCTGTTGGACAAGTCAAGTCTGCTTGGCTTCAGGAAGGGAAAGAGGTCTAGGGAGTGTTAGATGTAGCCACCGCTGAGACTGGAACGGGATAAGCATGAAGCACAAATGTGGATTACTGGGAAGGGCTGGGATAGGAGAGGCTCTTGCCTTCAGCACCAAAAAAGAAAAAGTAGTCAGAAAACAAGGTAAATAGTATGCTAGTGTGATATCTTAAAATGTTAGAATTCATGCAGAAAAAAAAATGAAGCCATGTTGGGCAAAATGTCAAGAGTTTAGAAAACCAGGTCAGTTCCCTACCCTTTCTTTTGGCTCTATGCCACGGAGGAAATGGAGACACTGACTGGAGGTAGCCTCTCTGATACAGGCTCTTTATGCAGAACAATGGAACTGAAGTGTAGCTAGAGTTTTCCTGCCTTGCCCACAGTCAGGACAAATCTTTGTCACCCGCCAGTCCCACAGCAGCTCAGACCCAACCAAGTAAACACAGAGAGTTATATTGCTTACAAACTGTATGGCCGTGGCAGGCTTCTTGCTAACTGTTCTTATGGCTTAAATTAATCCATTTCCATAACTCTATACCTTGCCACATGGCTCGTGGCTTACCGGCATCTTCACATTCTGCTTGTCCTGGCGACGGCTGGCAGTGACTTCTTCTGCCTTCCTGTTCTTTCTTTTATCCTCTCTGTTAGTCCCGCCTATACTTCCTGCCTAGCCACTGGCCAATCAGTATTTTATTTATTGACCAATCAGAGCAACACATTTGCCATACAGAACATCTCACAGCACTGAAGTATTTTTATCTGGAAGGAAAAATACTTTTATCAGAAGTCTTATCAATAGTAACTGCTTCCAACATCACTGTGGTTCCCCACTGGAGTGGACTGGAGTGGAAAGGCAGTCTACAGAATATCGTGTCACAGTACCACTGTTTTGTACCTTCCCTGAGGACTCAAAGCTAACTTGGTTCTAATTAGGTTTGCAGTTTGTTAGAGTGGACCCACAAAGACACAGTACACAGAGCTCCCAGAGAGGATGGAGAATTCACAAAGCCCCTGGTGATGGCTTTCAATTCACTATAAACTTGTGAATAAACAGCAGGCTGGCATGGTGAGCTGGTAGTGGCTGTGGACACCCACATGCCTTATTCCCATGCCTCAGGGTCAATAGCACGTGTTAATGCTTCACGTGGAATTGGGTCTCTGGGAGTGTTTAGTGTGAAGAGATACCAAGCTGCCCAGGTGCCTCCTCAAGGGCTAGTTTGTTATCAAATGCTCTCGAGAAGGAACGAGACTTGCACCATGCCCACGGAAATGGTGATGGGAGACAGAACCAGGCAGAAGTCTAGACCTTGAAAAAACACCTTAGCTGACCCTTCCTTTGCCTCACTTATTTTTGTCCCATCCCAGCTGGTGTTCCTGGTACTCAACGTGACCCACCTCTGTTTCCAGCTCTGGGGAATGGCCACCAAGGGGGTCCTCAGCTACTGGAGAAAACTGAGACACTGGCTGGAGGTAGCCTCTCTGATATAGTCTCTTTACGTGGAACAATGTCACTAAAGTATTTTTATCTGAAAGGAAAAATCCTTTTATCAGGAAGCCTTATAGGTACTAATTCCAACCTCATTGTAGTGTAGAGGCAGAATAGCATTTGAAATCAGGTTTCCTTGGCATCTGATGGTGGTAGTGGTGTGTGTGTGTATGTGTGTGTGTGTGTGTGTGTGTGTGTGTGTGTGTGTGTGTGTGTGTGTGTGTGTGTGTGTGTTTCGGTACATAAACATGTGGAGGCCAGAAGCCAGTTCTGGGTGTCATTTCTCAGATACCATCAATCTCTCTTTTTAAGACAGTGTCTCTCACTGGCCTGGAAATCATCAGTTAGACTAGGCTAGCTAATTGGAGAGTCCCAGGAGTCCACCCGCACACGGGGATTCCAAGCATGTGCCACCATGACTGGCACTTTCACATGGGCTCTGGAGATTGCATACATGTCTTCATGCCTACACTTTACCAACTGAGTCATCTCCTCAACCAATTTAATGTTTGACAGACAACTTGTCACCAGAGGGTCTAGGGGGGCCACTGAGTCCTCCCTCAGCCGACTGAGGACCTTTCTCTCCTGTGTTGCAGCTCTCTATGGTTGGGGTAGCCCTGGCCTACTATGCAGCCTCTGGTTACCTCACCACCCTTGCTGAGAATGTCACTGACCAGTTCCACAAAGGATTTCATCAGATGTATGTGGACCTAAGTCTGATGGTGTCATGGAATCAGGTATGATAGGGGATTTGAGGGTACCCAAAAGAAGCCATAACTGATGTTGCTCAATGACATCTATCATACAAGGACATCTATCATAGAAGGTTCGGTGAGATGGGTGTGTTCTGTTGGATGGTAATGCTGTGAGCTCACAGATGGTAGCACTTGAAGCAGTGAGGGATATGGATAACTTCACTTGTGCCCACCAGCTGGGCATTCATGCATGCTATGTAGGGCAGAACTCAAGAGCCAGGGATGCCAATGTACTTGCAGTAGCATTAGGAAGCAGGCGTCAGTCAACACAGCCTACAGTAAGGAGGCTGGCTCTAACATGCTTAGATACATCACACCTGTCTTCCCCTTCCATCTGGTGATGGTCTTAGGTGCAGGTATTTTCTATAAGTGATGACTCCGAAGCCCAGGAAGAGACTTGAGGTCATGAAGGGGAGAAATACCACCTCTAAGTCTATGTATCACTATCTCCTAGACTTCCATCTGTAGAATGGGACCTCTACCAAAACCAAGTAGAATATGCAGGATGGGCCCCATAAGTCCCTGGAAGGAGACCTGTAGGTCAGGGGATCCTATCACAACCAGCCAGGCTCCCCAGAGGTCCACTGCTTCATGCCACAGTGAATATATGCAAACTGAATCTATTATTCCTCTCTTACTCTGGTATAGCCACAGCTAACATCTCTACCTACCCACAGATTCTCTAAGTCTTTTTTCTACCTACCTTGAGGGCTGTCAATGCCCCAGGGCCATCCTGTACCTAGAGTACCTTCACACCCTAGACAAGATGCTCCCAGAACAACCTGAAAAGTGGGGGGAATGGTTCCCCTCTAACCTCAGTGCTCCCAGCTCCACCTCTTCTCTATAACTTCCCTCTGGCTCTTCTTGTGATAAACCTTGGGCCCAGATTTCTTTTCTGCTGAGTGGGGAGCTTTTGAGGGAACAAGGATGATGTTCTTCCTCCATCACAGCTCCAGCCTTCCTTTTCTGGATAAGTGGTACCACTGTTGTCCCTGTCTCCTCGGAGGGTATATCAACTTCTACCCATCTTCTCTTCTCCAGCTTCTCACCATCTAAACTCCCAGTAAACCTTGGAGCAGAAACACAGAGTGTTCCCAAGACAACTGCTACATCTGGGGAAACTGAGGCTCAGAGGGTGTCAGGACCTTCCTATAGCCAGAGTGGCCCAGCTGTGGAAACACCAGAGACTCATCAGCCTGGGGGCTGTGTGTTGAAGGATCCCAAGTAGAGGACAATCTGGGTTTCTTCCTGGAGGACAAGAATACAAATCATCTTCCCTTTGCAGATGTCACTAGTTCTGTGACTTTATGAGTCAGTCCTGGGCCCTCCCAGGCTAAGAAGAGTTACATGGGGGAAACCCTGAAGCTATACTTCCTATGCCTGAGTGTTGAGCTCCATAAGCACTCATGAACTCCAAGGCTAGGCACAAACCAGGTAGACATCATCTTCACATCATGAGCAGCTGCCACTCCCTTACTGAGCCTGCCTCCTCCACTTCCTGCTCATCACCCCCATGGTGCTGCGCACACCATGCTTTGTACACATTGCTGGTCCTAGCAGGGACTCGTTGCATGGAGTGCACCGTAGGCCATCACTGTGCTAAGCACAAAGAGCAGGATTCCAGACACTTTTGCATCTTGGATTATAATTTCTGCAACTTGTAGGAGCCTAGTATGCCAATCACAAAAGTTGGGAAAATCATCTTCTTTATCCACACAGGCAGGAAGCTCTGTTCCTTTCTGTCCTAAAACAGGAAGTCTTAAGACACATTAGCTTAACACCTCATGGCTCCCCCAGCATATAGAACCCCAGGATGTTGCTCTTCAGGTTCTCCCAGCTGTGAGTAATGTCTTTCCACACAGTAGTGAGCTGCTCAGGCTGTTCCAAGCGCCTTCTCTTTGTTTTGGGATGTTTAGTTCTCAGTCTCAGTTATTCTGGGAAATATGTAAAGTTAAAGAAGAGCTGGGTCAGCCACAGCCACACCAGGACCTTCTTGCAAGCACTTAGCATCTACTGAGCTGTGTGTGGTACAGTATGATATGGTTGTCTGTCACACACCAAGAGGCCAGAAGCTCTAGGAAGGAAGTTTAGCAGCTTGCTCATGACTGTTCCCCAGCAGCAACATGGGATCAGATGAAGACTCTCTCTATTCCACTGTTGGCCTCACTGTGTCATCACTGGCAGGCTTTCTGGTCTACCTTTCCTGTGTGTCTGTATTCATCAGCACTTTTTCTACCGGGGGTGGGGGGGAGGGTTCAGCTCACTTTCCATGTGTTCTACCCCACAACCACAGCTATGCATCAGCCTGGATCCCAACTCCATCGTAGTCTAGGGTTCCTTTCCTGAAACACTTTGTAGGGTGCTCTTCTCACTGGCATGGGCAGAGAAACTCTTTGAGGGGTGTCGTGAGGAGAAACAGCAGTCTGTCAGGACTCTCTGAGCACTGGGCCTCCGAAATGGCTTCCCCTTTCACACCCTTCTTCCCTCATAGTGTGCTATCTTTCTGGTCATGTTTGCTTTTGCCAAAATCTTGCCTGGCATGACTCCCCTTTCCCTGGGGATTCCATTACAGCCCGGTGTCAATTTCTGGGCCTTCACTTAGCTCTTGAGTAAGAGCTGACCTGGTAAAGCTTCATCCCGCCCCATACTCACATCAGCATTCTGGCCCTGCATCATTTGTCCCATCACCACCCAGTGCCCGGGGTACAGCTCAAGCTGATCAGAGCTCAGTGCCTCTAACTCTCCTCTCCACAGGGCTGAGCTTGATGAACTGTAAAGGAGTTTATAAATTTGGTGTGCAAATATTTCCATTTTATTCCGAATATACACTATTTTACATATGTTGATCTCAATAAAACACTTAGTAAATATCTCTGCTTATTATCACCTGTTAAATTACAGCTACCAGGAAATTCGCAGTTCTGCCCAGGTCTCCCATTGTATCTCACCTACCCAGTGGGGGTTACAGTGTGAACTGTCTCCATTTTTTCCTGAGCACAGCCATGTCTTACTGTCTTGAAGGGAGCATGGTTGTGCCAAGCATATTTCATATAACCATTTTGTATCAAGTGACATACTATCTAGTGAAACAGGGAATGGCAGCCCATCCACACCACAAATGACCCCACCCATACTCCAAGAGGATGAGCATCCCAGTCCAGTCAGAAGCAGCAGTGGAAACAGCCTGTGGTCTTGGAGCCAGTTACCTGAGATGTGAACTGTGACGTATGCATCGGGAGGCCTTCAGAGCACTTTGTCACTGTCTGAGTTTAGATGTCCTTGCAGCTGCAGCCTATGGCCTTAGCCTCATCTTTTCTTTAACCCCATGAGTGGGCCATGCTTCTTCAAGTTTTAAATATGATAAGACCATGGTACAAAACTTAAAGGGTTTTCTAAGATGAGAAAGAGAGGAAGAATATGCATACATATCCTCTTGGCACATGATAAATATCTTGCAAGTAAATATGATAATGAAAACAGTTAGGAAGGCTTTCTGGTATCCTTCCAATCAGATATAGGCAAGAAAGGGGTCCACAGAGAGACCATAGCTGTGCTCTCCACTCTCGTGGCCCCTGACCCCTTGAGAGTATAGAGAATGAAGTATGGCCAGCTCAAATTGAGACATACTCCAAATATAAAATACTTATTGAATTCCACAAATTTAATATGCACACATTCCCATTTGTGCTGAATGCACGTGTTATTTTACATGTTGGTCTAAATAAAATGCAAAGTAAATCACTGTGCTAATTTTCACCTGTTAAATTGCAGCTACCAGAAAGTGTGCAGCTCTGCCCAGGTCTCACATTGCAGGTCTCCTATCCAGTACCTGGATATGCTGTCAATCATCCCTGTTTTTCTCAAGCACAGCTGAGTGTACTGATTTGAAGGGACCACAGCTGTGCCAGCCTCTCACAGCTTCCCTGGGCCTCAGTTGTCAGAGGTGGCTGCTGGTCGTTTCCCAAGCAAACTGAAAACCTTGATCCTTGGCTCCCATGGAGTTCTAGCATGCAGCATTCATCTCTTTCTCTTGGGGAAAGTAGATGAGGCCATGTGCCGAAGGCCTTTCCCAACGAGTCTTAGACAGGTGCACCGCTTCTGAGTGACCCAGGAGTTATGGGTACCTGTGTTGGACCTGGACTCTGAGTGTGCCCCTGGGTCATCCTGCTGTGTCCTTTGTCCCATCACTGTGTTTATGTGAGCCATAGACTACAAAGCTATAACATGGGGACCCTCCTAGTTATCACAGGATTAAATTTTCACTGTCTTCAAGGAAAGCATTGGTAACATGTTACATGATGAGGGAGCATCCTATCGCTGTTACCATGGCCATTCACTTACAGCACAGTGGACTGAAGCTCATAGGGGGAACCAGCCAGACATGCTCTGCTGTCTCTACCAGCCTGGCCCTCCTGAAGATGTCTTACAATGTGTCCTGACTCCTGCTTCTGACTTGTGTTCCTCTGTAGATACTGACCCTTGGTGTCCCTGAGAAACCTTGTGTCCCTGGGAGACCTGTGGTCTAGACAACTCCTTAAATGGGCATGTGTCTCAGCATAACTCCCAGGTGTGTGCCTGTGCCTACACCTCCTTGTTATTATTGGCAGGACACACTGACCTGCTGTGTTCTTCCCTTAGCGGGCAAGATGGCTCCGGGGAATCCTCCTATTCCTCTGGATGTTGAAATGTGTTCACCTCCTCGGCTTCCTGAGCACCCTGGCATCCTTCTCAGCAGTGACACATTCGTCTCTCTCCAGAGCCTTTGCACCAGCAGTAAGAATTCTCTCCCCTTCTCCAGTGATTTCCTTAGCCAGCCAGCACATTGGTTCACCCTAGTCAGGGAATAGCAAACTTCTCACAGGGTGACATACCATCCAGAATTCTAGCCACCGAATCCATTATGGTGGGGTTTAGATAAGGGGTATCAGTATTATAATTGTGTTTGTGACAGCAATAGCCATGATTTATTAAACACTGGCTTTGTGTTACACTTTCCCATGGCATATTATGGTTATTTCCTACAGATCTCTCCCTAAGTGTCAGGACTGCTGTGGAGGGCCTCTTGTATGTGAACATGCTTAATGATCACAATGGGCTGCGGGTCGGAAAGGTGGTTTTCTCAGACGATGGAGCAAGAAGCTGAGAAAGGGGGTGACACTGGCCTTGGGACTGTAACTTTCAGGTGCTTCAATAGCCACATGCTGCTTCTCCCCGCCCCCCATCTGTCACCCAAGCCCTGCACACAGAGACTTCTCCTCTCACACGCCAGAACCCCCTTTGCATTAATTGCCTCACTTGAGGAACCACACAGCATCAGTAGAACATAGAAGTAAACCCCAGTCAGGACAAAAGAGCATCATGGGTAGATGGTGCTCAGCTGTTTGCATGGGTGCTTGGCAACGCCTGAGCTCTGTGCCAGTACAGGGCAAGTCCCCCTGCAGGGATGGGACAAAAGTTCTGACTGGAGAGTGAAGGCCCGAACCATGCCCAGAGTATAGCTTAGACCCTGATGGGGTTCCTGGCTGCTGGTCCTGAGCAGGTCCCAGTTGAGAAGGAGCTCACTTTAGCCCCATAGGCCTAGTGCGGCACAAGTTCCCACCTCTGCCACAGACAGCATTGCTATCAAATTTGAGACAACTGCTTGGCCAGGTGGCTACTGTGAGGACATTCTGGCTGTTAGGGCCAGGGCTTACATAGGCCCACAAGGACCGAAGCAAGAGTCTCCTGCTCCAGAGAACATGGACCCTGCTGGTCCTATGCTTGGAGGAACAGGCCAGCAAATGAGCAAAGAAGAAGTAGATCTCAGAGTCTACAGCTACACTTAAAAAACCAGGCTGCCCCTACCCAATCACAGATGTCACCAGAGGCCAGCTAATAAACCTTCTGGGAAACATATGGCTGATGTGTGCCCAGGAAGGTTGCTTGCCTTAGAAACAATATAGGTCTACGTGGTCTCTACCTAGCAATAAACTGTTATTGACACAATTTAGCACCATATGAAAGTGCTTTTATGTTAAGAAAAATCTCAGGATATAATAAATGATATCTAACAAATGTAGCAGCATTTGCACTGTCCAAAGTAGGTGTGTGTGTTGTGGGTCAGTCAGGGCCTTCATCTCGACTTGCTGAGATGTAGTTTGTGTTTGTGGTTGTTTGCTTGCCTGCTTTGCTTTTTGCATTTAAAAAATTGTTTGTATTTGTTTGTTGTTTGTTTGTGGGGGAGGGCGTGTGCACCGAGGTCAGAGGACAGCTCCTGGGAGTCTTTTCTGTTCTCTTATCATGTGGGTTCATCAGGCTTGGCAATATAAACCAGGGCACAGTGGAACCACTGAGCCAGACCACTCTGTGGGTGGGAAGAAAGGTTTGTTTGGGGGAAATTCAAAACTGCTAAGGCTGTCTCTTGGGGGTCAGAGAGAATAGCAAAAGGTGGGGAGAGTCTTGCCAGTTGTATGAGGGTATCAGTGGGAGGGAGCATGTGAATGGAAACGGCCTGGAAGTTAGAGTTGGGAGGTGGTTTGTGGGGCAGAAGAGGTGGAGAGCTACCATGGTGACTATGACCAGTTACAGATATGTGTTAATAAAGAAGTAGATGCCCCTTTGCCGGGGGCGGGGGGGGGGGGATTGCTGGTTGGGGCTATCTTCTAGCAATCCTTCTGTTTACCTGAGTCCAGCGTGAGCTGAACCTAAACTGTCAGTTATGATATTGTCAGTGGCACTGGCATTTTTAATTCTGTTTCAAGACCAGGTCTTATGTAACCTAGCCTGGTCTCAAACCCACTATAGAGCCAACGAGAGCCTTGAATTCCTGATGCTCCTGCCTCCACCTCAGAGCACTGAGATTGCAGGCATGTCCCACCATGCTGAGCCTAGACTACGCTTTCTTCCTCCTCGTTCCCACAGAGATGTGTGCCAAGCCACTTGAGTTGAGGGTATTCGATGAGTGCCAGGCAAGAGACAAGGAATTCTAAATGCAGGGCCGGGGAAATAAATGGAGGCCAGTGGTTCCTGAGATAGGTAGCAAGATGGTGGTCTGTCATCCAGACATCACACCTGAGAAACTGTGTCAGCCCTGGAGTTGGTTTCAGTAGAGAGTGTGACACAAACTGGGTGGTGACACTACAACTAAGACCTCAAATTAAGTCCCTGTCTCTAACAGCCAGACCACAAACTTAACCAGAACCAGTTTGCCTCTATGTAGCCCTTCCCGATTCTTCTTAGTCATTACCTTTACATAGCCCACGCTGGGTGCTAGACACGTATAGGCAAGAGACCATCCTAGTAGCAGTAGTCCCATATAGGAGAAGTCCAGTGTACAGGCAAGATGCTCACGGCCAAAGATTGAAGAGACAGGTCACTGATAGCAGAGGTGGCCAAAAAGGGTGAGCCTCATTACGGCCAATCATCCATCATAGGCCCCCACGGCTCATGTGCGTGGACTGTGACCTGGCCATCAGACAGTCTCCCAAGCTTCAGGAGGAAGGATGGGGGTATGGAGCTTACAGAGCTCTGACAACAGAGAAGGGAGCACAGGTCACTTTTCAGGACTACTGGGTGGCTGGGAAGGTGTAGATACAGATTAAAAATACAGAAAGAGACCTAAGAGGGGCAGGTCTGATGGAGGCTGGCCTCTTTGGGATGAGATCCTAAACCAGGAAGATGAGCTGTACACAAAATCCCCTTCTCCAAGCTTTTAACCATTTAGTCATTTAGAAGTCCCCAAGTAGCCCTCTTCCTTAAAGAGAGTTGATGGGTCAGCGGCCTGGGGTTTTCTCCCTGCAGCTGTTGGGGGCCCTGCTGCTGGCGGCCCATTCCCACTTGCGCCAGTTTCTGCTCTCCACCGGGACGCCATCACCTGGCACCTCTGCAGATGTATTTCCTGGGCTGCTGCTTCAGTTTCTGGGAAGAAGCCCAAAGGACGCACTGCACAATCGTTTGGAGTCTGACCATCAAGCCATGACTTGTTACTGTGGGGCCCTCTTTCTGCTGGTGGCAACGCTGTGTTTCGGAATGGTACGTAGATCCCCTGATGCATCCTAGACCTTAAAGTCAAAGTTTATAAAGATCTCATCTGCTATCAGGACAAAACGATCTCTGTCCATATAGACAGGCAAGTCCAAACTGCCCTGGCCAGATCTCATGGGAACATAAGATAAACCCTCCCAGGATCTACCTGATCTGCCCTGGGAGGGGGAGCTCTCCCTTCACTGAGAACAGTCCAGCAAGACCACAGCTGCTCCTCCTCAGGACACTGCCTTCCTGGTTCCCTACTTGTTGACTTACATCTCTTCTCACCCTTGACTTGATCTCAGGCTGCTTCTACTGAATCCCTCCTGTGTGCACCCTATTCTTTTTTTTTTTTTTTTTTTTTTGCTATTGTTTTACTTCTGTCTTCCGGATTTTTTTTTTTTTTTTTTTTTTTTTTTTTGTTTTTCAAGACAGGGTTTCTCAGTGAAACAGTCCTGGCTAACATGGAACTCACTCTGTAGACCAGGCTGGCCTCAAACTCACAAAGATCCGCCTGCCTCTGCCTTCTGAGAGCTGGGATTAAAGGCATGCGCCACCACCGCCCGGCCCACCCTACTCATTTTAAAAGACGGTGTTCAGTGTGACACTTTCACACACACGGTCCCAGCCAGCCAGTTCTCCCCTTAAACTCTAAGCAGACCTCATAGAGTCAGGGTCCTAGATAGTCCTTTCTGTCTCCCTTTTAATTCTAGCCATGTTCAAAGGCAGCTATACCAAGAACTCTACCTTCCCAGGGTAGTTCCTGGAGCATGGTGAAGCTCAATGCAAGTTACAGGAATTGGTCATTGCTTTCTCAATGACTTCAAACTCTTTGTTTCATAAGGTTCTGCCAATGTTCTCATTAATAGCTTGTTAAACTATAAGTGGCTACATATGCTCATACCCTGACAGCACTCAGACTGGCGCTCTTAGCTCCTTTCAATGGTCTACATTCCCTGCTCACTGCTTTCCATTCATCCATCCATCCTTCATTCCTTCCTCCATCCTAACCACTTACCTGTTGTAGAATATTAGTTAAAGTTGTGTGTTACATTTGTTTATGCTGTGGAATATTTGTTTAATGATGCAAAGATGTGTTGCATTCTTTTATGTTGCGTTTGTTTAACCCTGGGAAGCTGTGTTACTTTGCCTGTCTAAAACACCTGACTGGTCTAATAAAAAGCTGAATGGCCAATAGCAAGGCAGGAGAATGGATAGGCGGCACTGGCAGGCAGAGAGAATAAATAGGAGGACAAATCTGGAAAGAGAAGATCAAGGAACAAGAAAGGAAGGAGAGAGGACACCAGGGGCCAGCCACCCAGCTACACAGCAAGCCATGGAATAAGAAGTAAAGAAAGAGAATATAGAATAGAGAAATATAAAAGCCCAGAGGCAAAAGGTAGATGGGATAATTTAATTTAAGAAAAGCTGGCTAGAAACAAGCCAAGCTAAGACCAGGCATTCATAAGCAAGAATAAGCCTCCATGTGTATTTATTTGGGAGCTTGGTTGTAGGTTTCCCAAAGGGTAAAAGAGTAAAACAAAACATTTACCCTCCCAGCCAACTATTTATCATTACTTAGTTACCCATCATCCATCTGTTGACCCACTAATACATTCACTGGCCCACTCATTTAACTCTTTCCATCCATCCATTTTAAGTATAGGATGAGAAGTACAAATAAGAATGTGTGTGTGTGTGTGTGTGTGTGTGTGTGTGTGTGTGTGTGTGTGTGTATGCTTGCATTTGGAGGCCAGAGGACACCTTTGATGTCATTCCTCAGAAACTACTTTTTTTTTTTTCCCACTCTTAAGCTAAAGCCTCTCATTGGCCTGGAACCTACCAAGGAAGCTATACTGGCTAGCCAGTAAAATCTAGGAATTCACTGTCTCTTGCTTCCAAGCATTAGAATTAAATCCGTGTATCACCATGCTGGCTTGGTTTGGTTTGGTTTTTCAAGACAGGGTTTATCTGTGTAGCCCTGGCTGTCCTGGAACTCACTCTGAGATGAGGCTGGCCTTGAACTCAGAGATCTGCCTGTCTCTGCCTCCTGAGTGCTGAAATTAAACACCTGCACCATCACACCCAACTTCTGTTGTTTAACATGACTCCTGTGGTTTAAAGTCGGCCCTCAGACATGCAGATATCTGTGCCCATCTGTCAGCTGTCTATGCTCCAGCTCTTGGTGTCCCCACACAGTTCTGCCAGGGGTTGAAGGGATTCAAGGGATGATCAAGATCAAAGGTATGCCCATGAGAGACAACAACACACAGAGACATTTCTTGAGAGATGTTTTGACGTATTTCCACACAACAGAAGCCCCTCCCATTGTAGGAACCCACCACCACACACACACACACACACACACACACACACACACACACACACACAGGCGATAGCAGAGCCAGGTGATGGAAATCCAGGAGAGAGGGAAGCGGGGTCTTCCGGAGGGGTACTGACATGTTCAGAGGGCGTGGCTCAGCAGCAGTAGTGGGAAGCAGGCTCTCGGTCAGTGATTTTGTGAGCTTTGGCTCCTGGGGCCTGCCAGTACAGCTTCCCCATTTCAATGGACGACACCACGTGAGGTTCTCCAGGGCGGCCAACGCAGACAGACTCTAAATGGCTAAAAATTTTGCTTGTTTGAGCTATTTTCCAAAATAAATGGGATGTGAACTGACACGTCCCAGGCAGCAGTGAGGAAATAAATAACCTAGGGACTCATATCCAGGGCACAGTGTTGGCTCGTCTTTTTAGCACACATGAGGAGGACGCAGCAGTCTGCTGAGTCTTTGATTCCTTCCTGCCTCTCAGACACAGACCCACACTCCAGCCGAGATGCTGTGTCATACACAGGAACACCACCGTGAGACAATAACAGCGTGCTTCATAGTAAGATCCCTTTTCACTGCTGAGCTCTAACCGTAGCTCCGCACGTGAGGGCTGTTTTCCTAATTTTGTTTTGCCAAGCTTCTTGAGACATCCTTAAGCAGCAACGGCAGATGTAATATTCACTTCATAGTTTATCAAATTAACAATCATTCCATAGCTTGATAACACAGAATTTCTCTCTCTCTCTCTCTCTCTCTCTCTCTCTCTCTCTCTCTCTCTCTCTCTCTCTTCTCTCTCTCTCCTCCAGCTGAGGGCTTCCCTCCTGACTTTTTTCCGAAAAAGAAAGTCTTTTCACAGAAAATCTCTCGTGACGCTTAACAATGTTGCTGTTTATGCCTGGCACAAAGTCCTCACCCTTCTGGGGCTGGAAACAACAACTCCGGAAGAGGCGGAGGTGGCTGCGGACCATGTAAGCTGGGGGACCTCGGAGCAGCGACTCTACCATGAAGGCTTGCTTTCTGCAATGAGAGCACCATGGTGATTCTGTGCCAGCTATTACAGCAAAGGCTCAAAATTAGTTCTCAACCCCGGTGGATCTCACAGAATCTTCCCTTGAAACACTAAAGAACTCACAGGGTTGGCAGTCTCCGTCACTGCTCTCTGCATCTCTATAATCACCCTATACAGTTGAGAAGGCAGAGTCTCCGGTTGTTCTTTGAGTTACTTGCTTGCTTCTGGCACTTGCTCTCAGACCTAAACTTCTACCCAAACCATGGAGTCGTTGGCACTTTGGGTTGGGCACTCCAGACACTAAAGCAAACAAGTCAAACCTAGGTATTTTCACAGTGAATTCTCAGCTGTCATCCATGACTGCTGTTTATATAGCGTTCTGTGCAGTCCTGAGGCCGACAGAAGCAGTCACTGCACTGTGTTTGGATAGGGCTTACTGCCGGTCATGTGCCCATGATTGCCTTCAGATTCATTCAGTGGTTCTTTGTCAAAGCACTAGTAGCTGTAACACTTATGAATGAAGCAGTGTGTGCACACCAGAAATGAAGGAACCAAGACAGACAGAAACAGGACCAGCACCCAGGTCTTCTAACTTCTATGTCTAAGATATTTTATAGCATAGTGAAATTTTCCTAAGTTGACATCACTAAATAATTCACATAAAGAGGGAAAAAGAAAAACATCGCATTCTTGTATGCATTTATTAATCTAGTTTTCTTCCCTTCAGAATTATTACCTGGATGAATTTTCCAGCCTCTTGGATGAACTTCTGGTGAAGATTGACTGTTTGTCTGACAGCCTAGAACTTTCTATCCTAGAGAAACACTGGAAGAGGGCAGGGGAGTCAATGGCAGTGGATAGTCCTTCAGTTGGCATTTCATTGTAACAAGATTCTGGGGTAAGACTGTGCAAATTATTTTCATTAACTTTCTACACAGCAGTTTTTATATTCCAAAGGTGGTTTGAAATCATGAGATGGATTTGTATAAGAAACCCTCTAAAAATAATATTAGTGGAAAGATGTGCTCTGGCCAGAATTGCTTAAATTATTTAAAATGTATGGCAAGACTCCAAGTTTCCAAGTGCCGTGGATATCTATCTGCCCCATCATTTCCCATTATAATTGTAATCAATAAAGAGCCTGAGCAACAGAAAAGGAAAGTGCATCTCCCGGAGATGAGGGATGTCTTTTAGCATAGAATGTGACTGGCAATTCTAAGAAGCCTGCTGAGTGCACTGAGGATTAGAACAGAGAAGGAAAAGATGTGCATGTGGATGCTGCCATATGCAAGAGCATGCACAGGACTCCAAATTAGCACATCTGGAGGTGCCAATCAAAGGAGAGGGCAAAGGGGCACACATCTAAAAACAATTGCCACAAAAGGGTGACGATGGCAAGCAAGGTATTCTCTCATGAAAAATAACTCAATGAAGAAAACCCTTCTTTGAAAGTGGAGTACAAAACTAAGAAGAAAGAGCACAAAGATGAAATAAGAAAAGAATAAGTAGACAATGGAGGAATCCGCAGATATAGAGAAATGCATTTCTATACACAGTGAAGAGAAGAATAGGAATAGATTTGCAAGAAAATGAGCAAAGGATGAGGGTCTGAGAAATCAGTGAAAGGAATTTTGAAAAAAGTTAGAATTATTTTAGGAATATTAATGGACAGAGAAATCTGAAAGAGAGCTGTACGTAAGTCAGAGGGAGGATAAAGATCTAGGTCTATACAGATATTTCTCCACTGACAATGGGGCTATGTCCTAAAAATCCCACTGGAACTTGAAATATGGGGCACAGAAAGGCATTTGATTCACCAGGACTGCTGAATGGCAGAATTAGCAACATATGGCACAGGACCAGGTTCCACTGGACCAGTCAGGATCGGCAACTCTGAGTATAGTCTCTACAGAATGCACCATCATTTCTGAAAAGATCTATCATCTATCAATCATCTATCTATCAATCTATCTATCTATCTATCTATCTATCTATAATTTTTGAGAATAAGAAATATTCTTATGGTCAATTGCATGACAAACTTAAAAAGCAAAAAGGCGCATGTGTAGAATAAGTAGCTCCTACAACCTCTGTGACATGCAAAAACTGATAAGTTCCTAACAGAGTTTTGGAAGAAAGAGAACCATGTGAATGTCTGTGCCAGGAGACCTGAGGCTGAGAGAGCAGAACCAAGGTTGGTGTGTACTATTAAATCAGTACTCATGCCAGGCGGCAGCAGTGGCGCACGCCTTTAATCCCAGCACTCAGGAGGCAGAGGCAGGCGGATCTCTGTGAGTTTGTGGCCAGCCTGGTCTACAGAGCGAGATCCAGGACAGGCACCAAAACTACACAGAGAAACAGAGAAACCCTGTCTCGAAACCTCCCCCCCCACACACACACAAAAGCAGTACTCACAGAGGCAGCTAACTAAGAAGAAACAGTCTATATTCCACCTGATTCATCAGCAAGATTTACATGCTCTCAGCAAAGCAGGAGGGCAGAAATCATAAACATGAAGCACAATTGAGCAAAGCCAACAGCAAGATAAAGTGATCCAGTGGAGGCAAACTTGTAAGCCACCAGCTGTCCTACAGCTGAATACGTTGGTGACAGTGAACGCCAATGTATAAAATACAAAGGGGAAGTAGGAAACACATTTGGGAAACTGGGTGACAATAAGAACGTTGGGAAGACAAACTGGCTGTCTGTAATCCAACGCAGCTAAATTGACCGGAAGAGAGAGAAACGGAAGCAGAGTTTGAATGGCCACCCTCTGAAACCACCAGCCAGATGTGGAGCAACTGAAATTCATACTCCTTTGAAAAAGCTAAGCCCAGAGTGCCTGCAAACTATTCTGCAACACACACAAGAAAATCTTGCAAATGTCTTGTCATGAAACAAGAAATACATTGATTAAAAACTATACAAAGATCCCAAACTTCAAAAACTACCAGTCCTACTTATTTTGACACCAAAATAAATAAAATGTTAGCATGTAAGATCCAGCAGCAGACTCAAATAATAATATTCCATGATAATGAGTTTTAAATCAAGGCTACTTTTAGTATTAAAATAATATTAATGCCCTTTACCAAAACAAGAGTAAAGTATCATTTGACTTTCCCCACAGTTGTATTTAGTGAAATCTAATGCCTCTTCCTAATGTCTAAAGCACTCTTTTAAAAGGGATCAACCCTAAATAAGATATCTCCGTGTATACAATCCACTAGGAGTACATCAGATCTCCATGTATACAGTCTACTAGGGGTACATCAGATCTCATGTGTACAGTCCACTAGGGATACATCAGATCTCATGTATACAGTCCACCAGGGGTACATTAGATCTCATGTATACAGACCACTATGGGTACATCAGATCTCATGTATACAGTCCACTATGGGTACATCAGATCTCATGTAATACAGACCACTAGGGATATATCAGATCTCATATATATAGACCACTAGGATTACATTAGCTCTCCATGTATACAGTCCACTAAAAGTATATCAGATCTCCATGTATACAGTCCACTAGGGGTATATCAGATCTCATGTATACAGACCACTAGGAGTACATCAGATCTCCATGTATACATTCCACTAGGAGTACATCAGATCTCCATGTATACAGACCACTAGAGGCACATCAGATATCATGTATACAGACCACTAGGGGTACATCAGATCTCCATGTATACAGATCACTAGGGGTACACCAGAGGCACTTTCACTAAGATTAAGAAAAACCAAAAGATTGTTCATTCAAAAATCCCACAAAGACATTTTTCAGTGGTTCTGGGTTTCAGTGGTTCAGTGCGCTTGCGTTGTTTTTGTGGATAGAGTTAAGGCAAGAACTCTAGCCAGAGCTGTTTCTCCAGTTCCCACCGAAGCATTTCTAAGATATAAGCCTCCTCCCACAGTCCCCTATAAGCACACTTGTGGACATCCACGTCATGACTCTAAGGGCCAGAACTGCAAGTGTGTCGGAGCAGTTTCCATGTGCATAATGTGTGCTCCTGGGAGCCCCTCCACACTCTCTCTGCCTCAGAAGCCATGGCGGTTTCCTAACACTCTGCAATGTTCATGCCAGAGACTGCAAAGGCTCATACTTGTAATCTGTGCCCCAAGGACAAGCTGTTCTTGTGTGACATGAAGTACTTGGCACTACCACAATCATCAATTTTACTTTCCTCCCACTGGAAAATGCAATTGTTTTCTGAACAGTCACTTTATGAGACATTTATCAAAAGCGTATTACACAAAGGGCCACCGTAGCTGGGTTTGCCAACGCCTGCAGCACCCAGATTCTGCAGCGCAAGTCAGCTGTCTTTCTGGGAAGGAGCTGGGTGTCAGTGGTCCCCCAAGCAGGCCAAGCCCAACTGGGTTTTGCAGAACAGACTCCCCTTTGTGTGATGGAGACCAAGGAAAGGATCCATTTGATTTTCCTAACTCCAGGGCAGTTGTTTTTCATCTTAACCAATAATAATTAAGATTGGTATCTCTCTAAAACAGCAGGAATGGCTGCCTGGAGCTATCACTAACCACCTGCAAATTGCATTGTTCTTTGTGCTTAAGTGACTCACGGCAGCAGAACGCTGTGGCTGCCAGGCCCACCGCCCACCGCCTCCTCTCGCCCCTGGCTCATTGCTCATTCTGTGATTCTTGGCTCGCCCTTGCCTCTTAGCTACCTCCACCCACAGTCTTAGAAAAGTTCCTGCTCCATTTCTTGCTGTGGCCCAGGCCCCTCACCACACAGCTTGCCCCTTCTCTGCAGAAGCTAGTCAGGCCTGAGTCTGCAGGGGCAATTGGGAGATGCTGTGGGGGCCTTGCCCCATAAAATTTACTCTCGACTTGCTTTGGTGAATACAGTTAAGGCACGATGAGTCAGCCGGGGAGGGGCGGGGGCGCTTTATCTCAGGACACAGCTGACCTGCTCAAGTCGGGTGCAGCTCCTCCATAGAGCACCCATAAGACCCTGGCTTCTGTCCCTAACACAGATTTTTTTTTTTTTTTAAGTGTAATTACTTAGCTCCTTCTGCTAGGATGGAAGTAGAAGTTTTTGTAGGTGGAAAATCTGGGTTAATGTTCCACATCTGGGGGGTGATGCACAGGCCACTTGTGCTTACAGAGAAGCCTCCTGTACAGAAGCCAATGGCTCTGTTTTCAGGCAGGGTCACGCTATGAACTTGAATTCTGAGGATCGCTGTTCATATCTTCCCTTAACTCTGCCAGTTTGTGAAGTAGGTACCACGTGGATGATTGAGAGCACCCAGCTTCACAGCAAGCCTCTGTCTAGAGCAACGCTTCTCAACCTGTGGGTCACAACAACCCCAGAGGGGGCTCACGTAACAGAGACTTACATTATGATTCATAACAGCAGCAAGATTATAGTTATGAAGCAGCAGCAAAATAATTTTATGGCTGGGGGGGGCACCACAACATGAGGAGCTGCATTCAAGGGTCTCGGGACTAGGAAGATTGAGAAGCACTGCTAGAGAGACTTCGTGCTGGCAGCTGGCTTCCACAATGTTCTCCTTCAGTCATGCCGTGTTATCCTAACGGTGCGCACAAGGTAATTTAACAACACTGAACTGGAATCCTGGAGGGTGAGGCAGGCTGTGGTTCAAGTAAATCCATGCCAGCCCTCACGTGAGGAAAACATGGATGGCCCCGCTTCCTTGGACATAGGCGTGGAAGTCTCAAGGTCCCGCCGCTGAGCCACTGTTGACCGTGATTCATTCCGCTACAGAGTGGGGACTGTGGGCACAGAGTGCAGCCTCCTACCACATGTCCTCCCCAGGACAAAGAGCACTGCATCACTCCCCATGGTGCAGCTGAGCAAGGCAAACGGAGTGACTATGGACATAGTCTTCTTTCTCTATATGGGTTTAATGTAGACTACTAAAAAGGAGCGACGAGGTTCATTGTGTGCCTGTCACCACTCTGGGGACTGACGAGGCAATGCTGAGCAACACTGAAACTCTGAAAATGAGCTGTGTCCACCAGGAAGATGTAATTCCCAATCCCAGAAAATAAGGATCTTGGAAAGATGAGCAATAATCTGGGCGGCTTTTGTGCTTGTTTAGATCTGGGTATGACGTGCTTCTTCCCTGAAACGGAAAGGGGCCGCTAACATTGCAGTCATGGAATGAAACGGAGTGGCGTCTAGGAGGAATGCACCCGACCCTTCCCAAGATGTGGGACCACTGTGTTCCCAGATTCCAGTAAAAATGATCTTCCCACCTGGATTCCTGTCCTGGCCCTGCTCGTGCTGACAGGGTTACATCCCAATCCTTGTGCTCTCTGTTCCTGTGCTTCTGCAGACACACACAGTCCATGCTTTGTAAACTGATTAGCAAGCAGAACGTGATAGACAGTGCCTATGGCTGGCAAGAGCCCAAAGCTAAGTCAAACAGGGCAAAGGTTGATGGGCAACTTCAAGGGCAGGATTTGCAAGAACTTTGGGGTTGTGCTTATAGCTTTTTTTTTAAAGTTTGAAATGATTTCCCACTGAAAAGCTTTTTGAAAGAGTCTCTTGTGTTGCTCAAGCTCAGATACCACACAAAGACGGGGTCACTGTGGTGAACAATAGTTTTAATAGTTCTTAGAAGACATTTTTTTTCCCCTTAAGCTTTTCTATATTTTTAAGTATATCTTGGTATACTTTTTTTTCTTGGATGGACATCACAAGAAAAGCTTGTTAAACTTAATAGAATGGCTTAGATGTGATTTACGACTCCTGGGTGTATCAGGAGTGCAAGAAACGTAAAACGCAGCCATAGATGCTGAAGCAGAGAGCCTTCTGAGATAAGCATTCTCGGCTTCCACACTGGGTCTGCTGAGGTGGCTGCACAGGGAGAAATGTTCTGCAGCTCCTGATTTATCCCCTTTCTGGCACACAAGTGCCAGCAAAATTGAAGTACTGGTATGCACGCCCCCTTCTTTGGAAGGGTGCTAGTCCAGCATTGGTGACACTGGATATAGACCAGAGCTTCTGTGTCACTGGGAGCATGGAATTTATTTACAAAAGCTGCCTTCTCTCTAGTGGGGGGTGGGTCACGGGACTGGAATCTTTGAATTTTCCAGGATTGGAATGTGCTTTGAGCCGGCTGCTTTTTGAAGCCGTTTCTGTTTCATCGGCTTTGAGAAAGAAAAAAAAAAAAAAAACCTTCAATAATGATTGTTCCCAAATACTACATAAAAGGGCTGTATTAGTTGACTGGAGTGCAGTAACAAATTCCACAATCAGAAATATGATGTCTCACAGTCTGGAGACCTGAGGTCCATGGCCCCGGAGGAAAGACCTTGCCTGGCCGTTTTCCTAGCTTCTCAGCATCCCCTGGCTTGGGGTGACCTAATTCTAATTGGCATTCTCCCCATCTTTGTTTCTTCATGGTCAGGTTTTCTCTTTCTGTACAGACTGCGATGAATGCATCTCACTTCCTTCAAAGCCGTAATTTCTGGACATTGAAGATGAGCACTTCAATGTTTTCCTTTGGGGAGGAAATCGCTCAGCACAAACACTTGTGCAACTGTAGATCACTAAAGACAAAGGTCACACAGTTTCACACTGATTCCAGTGTTCCCAGGAATCCCACTAATTTGATAAAAGGAAAACAAAACACTCAAATATTTTTTTCCCTTTCTCCTTTTAGTCTGTAAAGCTTTTATAAAAGTGATACTTGGGACCAGCAAGGTATCTTGGTTGGTAAAAGCACTCGCTACTAAGCCAGGCAACCTGAGTTCAATCCCTGAGTTTGCAAGGAGGGGACCAATTTCTGCAAGTTGTCCACTGACCTCCACATTTAAGATGGTACATGAGCATTCAGCACATACACACGTATATCCATAAACACAATCATACACACACACACACACACACACACACACACACACACACACACACACATATATGTTCACACACTCACACGCACATACACTCACACACATATACTCACACATAATATTTTTTGAAACAGAGAATGCTATTTGGGCCCTAGTACTTGATGATATGAGAAGTGATTCTCAGTTTTTTGGTTTTTTTTTTTTTTTACCCTGGATAAGACTGGACAATACTCAAACATTAATTTCTTCCACTTAAGTGACAATTTTAAATAGGAATAGAGGGGTCTTTTCTCTAAGCACTACATGGTTGCCAAAGAGTATTCACAGGGCCTCAAAAGTAACAGAACACAGAGATGTATGTGGAGGCCTGTGAGGCCAGGATCCTTGTCAATCACATGGAAACCCCTAAGACACAAGTCAGCCAGGTCACCCACACAGCACTGTTGGGAAAACAACTCCATTTCTCTAGCAGTTTGGCAGCCAGTGTCCATGGTGGTAAGCAGTACCCCAAGGCCTTCTGTGCTGATATCACCGCAGCAGGCATGCCCAGAGTGATTTGCTATCCCATGGCAGCTTGGTGACTATTTGGTTTTAAGTAAGACCAAGGAAAAGGAAAATCGGAACAGATGCAAGGTTTCTCCAGTCCCAGGGTCATGTATACTCACTCATCCATCCTCACGGTGGGTTTGTCTTACATGGATGACAGAGACTCCAGCTTACAGGTAGTGTATGAGGGGGTACCACAGCCACACATGTCACCAGTCACTGTGATGATGCCGGGATTATTTTACCTGCTTTTCAGTATTTGGGAAAATGTAGAATGAAGTTGTACAAATCTATTGCCACTGACAGTCTCATTAGCTTCTCTCACTACTACAGGTTTTCATTATAGTAGAACTAGTGAAAATTATGAATACACTAGCCTTTGGCCTTGATCAAGTTGTGGCCTTAGAAAGTCTTTTTTTTTTTTTTAAGTAGGTGTGAGTTGAGTAGTTTTCCAGACATTTGTGGTCACATGGCTTCTTTCTTGTGTAGTCTCTTCTTGTATCCTTATGAATACTAGTGGTGTTTTCCCCCATCACCCTGGTCCTGACCTCTGACAAGAGCAAGAAAACTAGATTAGAAAGTTCAGGAATGTGGGTGGTGGTGGTGGTGGTGCACACCTTTAATCCCAGCACTCTGGAAGCAGAGGCAGAGGCAAGTGGACCTGAGTTCGAAGCCAGCCTGGGCTACAAAGTGAGTTCCAGGATAGACGCAAAGCTACACAGAGAAACCCTGTCTTGAAAAACCAAAAGGGAAAAAAAAGAAAGGAAAGAAGGAAGTTCAGGAATGTGTGCTGACCTTTGAAACACACATCAACACCCTTTGCCCTGCAGGGCCCAAGGCTCCTGTTTTAAAATCTCTGGATGACTCAGTGGTGACTCTTACAGGTAGCTGGTTCCTTAGATGTTGAGTCATAGTCAAGAGGGAGGAATTTGGTGCCTGGCACAGGAAGGAGCTGTACTTTACATATAACTGCAGTAGTGTTTACTGTGTGACATTGGGAAGGGGGCAGACACAGGTCTCAGAGCAGGCCCAGAAGTACAGAAGTAAACACACAATGTGGCCAACATACTTTTAAATTGTTATTATTTTATGTGCATATGTGTGTGCCTGAGTGGGGCGTGTGTGTGTGTGTGTGTGTGTGTGTGTGTGTGTGTGTGTGTGTGTATGTGTGCAGTACCCACAGAGGCCAGAAGAGGGCATCAGATCCCCAGAACTGGAGTAACAAATGGTTCTGAGCTGCCATGTAGATGCTGAACAAAACCATCTCAGCCTAGGACCATCAAGAAGTATTGGTGGGAGGGCTTTGTATTAACTGAGAAATTAATTTAAAATATTCGTGATTTTCCCAGTGCACAGGAGAATGACAGTAAAGACAAGACTGTACTAGACATCAGATTTCTCCAGCTCCTGGCGATCCTCTCCCCAGCTGTGTTTGTAAGGTGAACACTCCACACAAGATACCTGCGGGAGCCCCAGCAGCTGCTCTCATTCCCACTTCGTAAGATTCCAGCCTCACCTGTGGCCCTGAAACACGTGTTTCCATGCTATTAAGCTCTTGGGTAAAGGAGGGAAGGTAGAGTTTTGCCCTTTCAGATTCTGTAAGTTGGTGTCATTTTGGAAGCTTCAGAACCCTGAATTCTATGAGATTACAGGAATGTGTCTGTATCCATAAGCAGATATGGGAGGACAAGCTGACCCAGACACAGAGACACAAGCTGCTTGAACTGTAAGCCATTTTGAGTGATGTTATGGTTGAGTGAGCCAACAATGTGCTCCTTAAAAGCACAATATGCATTTCAGCATATTTTTTGCCATGAAACCCTCAGCAGTGTTTAGGTAGTCTGTATCCCATAGATACATTGGCATAGGAAACTCGGCCAGCCAGAGAACTGTGTTACCAGCACACACTGCCATTATGATTTGACGTGATGGGCGCTCCTGGACAGAACATGTACCCCATCTGCCTTGCTAGGAAAACATTGGCAAAATGTTTGCTGTCAACAAAGTCTAGTTCCCATTCCTTCTGGAAGCACATTTGCCAATGAGCCCAAAAATAAATGGAAACATTTGTGCTGGGGCGAGACCATGGTCTATTTTGAGTTCTCTTGGGTTCTTCATGGACCTAAGGCTAGGAAAGAATATGTTTTCAATGACTCGAGATTCTCTCCACAGGACAAGAAGTCCTGATTTCATCACTTGAGAAGAACTTGTTCATTCAACAGCTTTTGTTACTGATGTTGTTGTTGTTATTGTTGTTAAAATGAGGTCATGATTGTTCTTTGGTAAAATTCTTTCCCCAACCTTAAGCCTTGCCTTGCATTCAGAGTTGATCTGCTTCAAGAAGACAAGGGCCTTGAAAGTCAGGGGAAGGACCGAGTTCTGTAAGTCCCACAGGGTCGGAGGCCACCTTTACAACACAGGGGCCAATCCTGAAAGTGAAATTCTCAGAAGACGTAGATCTACAAATCAGCAATGTGGTTGCCTGTCTCTCTTGCAGACAGTCACACACTGAGCACAGATAAATCTTGGGCTCTAGCTGCTCAAAGTAGAAAACAAACCACAAAGTCCTTCAATGGCACAAAGTAAGCATTCCCACTCCAGGGAGGAACGAGGACACAACAGAAGACAGACAGGACCAAAGCAAGACAAACACCAAGCCTTATAGCTTCACTCAGCACCTAGCATTTGTGATGGGCATTATCTGGCTTCCAACAGGCCTGCACCTACGTCTCTCTTCCGGCAGCACCCATGGGCTCTTCCTTGGACTGGATCTGCTTGGTGTCTTGACAGTGCCCCATGATTCTGACATCCCCAACATCCTGGGATACACATTGCAATGTGGGCTTCACCTTTACAGCTTCACACGGTGACCTCTCTTGACATCTCTGTGGGAACTCTGACCTTGCTGTACATCGCCTGGCCTTGCCGGCTTTTCCTGAAGCCTCATCACAAGTCTGCGCGACCCTGTAACTCCTACATTCTGCATACCTCCAAAGCCAGCACCATGCCAACAATGCCAGGTTGTGCTTCTGGCTTGAGAAATGCCCTGGTGCCCTGGGGCCACAGCTACAGCAGCCATTGAGCTGCCTGCTTGGTCAGGGAAAGTACTTCCTCAGGAGGTCCTATTTAAGCTGGCGTGGCTGAAGGCTCTATCTCTCAGGAACTCTCTCTTTTTTTTCCTTTTATTTTATTTTACAATACCATTCAGTTCTACATATCAGCCACAGATTCCCTTGTTC